AATGGAAAATGCTGTATATAGGATTTGAGGCTAGAAGAGGCAATGTGACATTGCCATGGAGTTATTGGGCAGGTAAGAAGTTTTGGAAGCAAGGGGACAAAGTGTTAAAGAGTGGCATTTTTATGCACTCACAAAAGTGATCATATGGACTTGTGCATTTCTGAGATGTATATGAGAAATGTCCAGCTATATGGTTTTTTGACAACAGTGTCCAGAATAACCCAGGCAGCGTGGCCAATGGTATAGCTCAGTGGGTTGGAATGCTTGGCTAGGAGTTTGAATCCCAAGTGCGCCTCCTGAGGCCAGCAGAGATCTCCTGAAAAGAATCCTGTGTGGCTCATAGAGTTATGTGCCTGCCATCCGTGCAGTCTTGGGCAAACTACCTGGTCAAAGAGTGCCACCCGAAGGACAGACAGCTAAACTGCTTCTGAGTACTTCAGAATACTTTATATCTAGAAAACTCTGGGAGCATTAACACAGGGGTCAGGGAACTTTTTTACCTTTTACCCCCCCCCAAAAAAACTTTATATACGTCAACATTACCCCCTTGATTTGAAAGGAAGGAAATCATACATTACTTAAATTCAAAATATTATTGAATCTACACAGGCTGTGTACTGAACTAGTGGGATATATCATCAGCATCAATGGCTGCCAGGCTATGTACTGAACTAGCAGGATGCACCAAATAAAGATATGCACTGTTTTTGCTGGAACACACTGTACTCCAACCATGGGGTTGTAGAGGGAGTAGTAAGATGTCCAATGTGCCTAGCAAGTTGCATTAAATTTCTGCTAGCTCGCAGAGGATTTAATCATCATCAGTGGCTGCCAGAGTGGTGCTAGCAATGACATGCTTGCTAGAGACAGCCAATGCAAAGTTGGGGGGCTTTTCCTACCACTTTAATCATTCTCCAGTTTTAGGTTCAGCTGCACGGGGTGGGAGTGGGTGGGTGGGGGTAGCACTGCTGATTACCCCCAGGATTTTCATTTTTACCTCATTTGGGGTAATTTACCCCTGTTCCCAGACCACTGCATTAACAGGAGGCAGAATTGACTTGACAGCACCTAATCATGAAGATAATGAATTATTATAATATATACATATAATTACCTTTGCCAGAGCTTCCGGAACCTGTAGAACTGTATGTTGTAGTCCCATAAGAGAATCCAGATCCAAAGCTTCTGTAAAAGAGATTTTTTTTTCTTGAAAGGTTTATGGGCATTTTACACTTGGCTTTTCAATGAACATTTAAGAATAGTAACAAAATTATTATGTGCAACAATGAAAGGTATTTGTCCGTAATCGGCTCAGACCCTCTTTTATTTCAAAGCAGGTTATGTCTTTACAGCCTTAGGGGGGTAGTCAAGATTCTTTCTAAATCTGAAAGAACCAATGGATGTGAGGGGAGGTTGGGATCAAGGTCCCACCCGATCCTATGTTGGTTGAAGGATTCCAGTGAATGTTCCATGTGGATTTCCTTTCTCATTGAATTTAATGGAAGGGATTTAATTCATGTAATGGAAATCACTGTGGTGTGGATCATGCTGTATAATCAAGATTTTTCTTTTCAGATGGAACTGACTGTGAAGTGAAAAACATATGAGATTAAATGTGTATGCTAAGTTTTAGCAGGTTTCTGAAAGATGGGTTTTTTTTTTTTTGGTGATCAAATTATTTTCAGCGGGGTGGCCATTTAGGCTAGTCTGTTTTATGGCATTCATTTTAAATGTTATTGTTACAAGACATCCTGTTCTTCTTTCAATTGTGAGGGTGTGGTTTCTTGAGTTGCCTGTGACATGTTTTTCTTACCCTCCTTCTCCATCCAGTAGCCGTCGGTAAGTCTCAATCTCCTGCTCCAGACGCGTCTTGATCCCTAAAAGATGCTCATACTCTGAATTCTGGGTCTCCATTTCAGACCGGAGCTGCAGAAGCTGTTCCTCTAAACCACTTATTTGTCCCTGTATTTGGCCGAGCTGATCACAGTAACGCCGCTCTGTATCTGCCAAAGTGCCTTCAAGTGATTGTTTCTGTCAGGAGGTGGGGTTGTGGGAGGAATGAGGAAAATAAATCACTGTTTAGCAAATATAAAAAAGGTAGGGAACATTCAGGATAAAAAATGTTGTTACTCTATGGAACATTGAGTTGAAGCCCCCTGTCGAAGAGGCACAGTGGGGAACTGAATTCCCATTCTCTGGCTCCCCAGCCAGCATAATGGATGTAAAATCTTCCACTGACATTCTCAAGTTTTTGCTTCTGTGTTTTCTAGTTTCTGAGGTGCATTTGTACAAATAATATAATCTTATATACCTTTCCTCAAAAATGAGTCTCTGAGATTTTGTTCTAGGTAGAGATGGTTTACTTTTTTTTTTGAGTACAAGTATGAGAATCCACAAACTAGTTTGACTGGTGGCTATGTTGGCTGGGGGATTCTGGGAGTTGTAGTTTAAAAACAAACTCTGTTCTCAGATTGGTGGATTTAGAATGAAGATCCAGTATATACACCCCTGTATATACACAACCAGAATTCAGGAGGGATATACTTATTAAATGGAGCTCCCCCCCCCCAAAAAAAAGAGACACACTAAGTTTGACAGCATTCACATCTCCACCCATTGCCTTGCGCAACACAGATTCTCCCCTTCACAAATTTAGTGGCTATGTTTATCTCTTTTCAGTTTAAAGAAATCTGCATTCTGACAAGACCTTGGATGGGTCCCTGCTCGGTCAGGACTACAGTATCCCCATAATGCTCTTATGTGGTGCTTCACCATCACTTCAGGAAAATTTAAAATGTTCATAAAATTGGGATTGTTGAATTTCTATCTGAGAACAGGGTGGATGATTTACAGAGTGAGGGCCATTACAGATACAGGTACTTCTCTCCTCATCTGCCATATGAGGAGATAAGTTCTTACATAGTTGTCACAGCAGGATTCTTCACATCTCCTGCAGTTTCCAAAATAGTCTGCTTTGCTTTGGGATTGGTCCTTGGGAGATAAGCAAGCAGATGCTTCATTTGTGAACATAATTACTCAGTCACAAAGGTCTTTTGGAATCACATATTTGGAACAGTCAGACCAATAGACTTCAGCTTCTAATGATGGGCTATCTGTAACGTATATTTTGGTGAAAGCTACCATTCCAAATAGTGCTCTCATTCACTACACTGAAAATGGTGATGGCCGTTGGTTCCTTCCTACCCAAGTCAGCCATGATGAGATGAGCCTAATTTGCACAGCCCCCGTGCCACCATTTTGAAGTGCTCCTGTTTTGATAGTGGACCTACCATAGCAAGTTGGGCCTGAAGGTCAAGCTCTAGGCCTTGCAGAGTGCGCCTCAGCTCAGTAATTTCACTCTTGCTTGAGCTTAATTGATCCACGTTGGAAGAGATCTCTTGCCTCAGAGCCCCAACCTGAGAAATGATAACCAAAGAGGTTTGAAAGAGGGTGGGGGAAATCAAAACTTTGCCCAGGATTTGGGGAGAACCAGGACCATTCTTGCCTGTTTGTTGAATTGCTCTTCTGCCTCTCTACGATTCTTTTCTGCAAGTCCCTCATACTGGCCTCTCATCTCATTCAGTAATTTAGTCAGGTCAATTCCTGGAGCAGCATCCATTTCCACAGTAACATCACCACTGGATGCTCCTCGGAAGCTCTTCAGTTCCTGCAGGTGGGAACAGCAAAATGTCATATATAAACTCAATAAAAGTTAATGAGATCTCTGCCATCATTTTTGCAATTCTACTTTTTATTTAGTTCTTTTCACACAATCAGCTTTGTAACAGTTAAATATTGTTTTAACTAATGACTTTAACCTCATTGAAGCACATGTACACATGATTCTTGAATGATAATTCACTCACCTGTGTTATATATTTATTAGTCAATTTTATATTCCTCCTTTCCTTCAAATAACTCAAACTGATTTATTTGGTTCTTTTCCTCCCTACTTAGTGACCTAAGCACACTAGCTGAATTTCATGGCTCAGCAGGGACAGGAACCTGGATCACCTAAGTCATAGTTCCAGAATCTATTTACAAACTGGAAGGAATGCTTGTTTGAGTGGCATGTTCATACAGAAAAAAGGACGTGTGCATGATGACTGCAGATACAAAGATAGGAAAAAATGTTCCTTTATTCATCAGAAAACAACCTTCTCTTTATGTGGGACTATAGATCTGTGGGAATATAGTTTCCCCTGAGCTATGGCTCAAGATCAGCCAGATATAATCATAATTTAGGGCCAATGTTATAAGGAAGGAAACATTCAGTTCAAAACCTATTTTAACCAGGTTTTCTTTTACCACTAGATGGCAGGCGTAGCTGAGATTATGGACATTTTATGGCCTTTAAGGAAGAGAAATTATTGGACTTCTCTTTCCAGTGAAAGCTTTACTCTGCAATTACCCTGGCTGAGGAATACCTTGTACTTATGTTAGCTGTATTTAGGGCAGGATTTCTGATGGGGGCGTCAAACATATGGGGAATGGTTTAACATGGTTGTTGTGGGTTTTTTTCGGGTTCTTTGGCCGTGTTCTGAAGGTTGTTCTACCTGACGTTTCCCCACTCATGGTTTCACTAATGGTTTAACACTTTTTGTATAAAGTTAAATACTGCACTTCAGATCAGACTTGACTAGTATCTTTCTGTTAAGCTGCTGATAGCATATTATTCTTCAAACAATAGTATTACCTCAAAGGTGTACGTTTGAGCAAACAGATTTGCAAACACAGTCCATGTTTTCCTCTTGATTACTGATAACAAAACAAAACAAGCTAAATTCCATAATACAGAGCTGAGAAAAATTTATGTGATGACAAGATTGATGTCTTTTACTACTTAAGGGAGCTCTGCACGTGTATAAGAATCTATTGTTTCATCTAATATGACTCAAAATTGTCTAAAATGGTATACCCCCGAGAGACCTCGGAATCAATGTTTCAATGTTACTGAATCTTACACCACTGCCAAATCAGCTTGTTTCTTTCATTAGATGTAACACAGAAAGTTTAGAAAAGCCATTCTCTTACCTCCTCATGGTTCTTCTTGAGGTAGGCAAGCTCCTCATTTAAGCTTTCAATCTGCAACTCCAGGTCAGATCTATGCATAGTCAAGTCATCCACGACTTTCTTCAGACCATTGATGTCATTCATGACACTCTGATGCAGGAACAGTTCATTTTCATACCTTGCAGATTAATATAAAAGGACATGAACACAAATATATTGACTGTAAAATAAACAAAGCCTAAGGGCAATGATTGGCTGATTAAATGGTTGTTGTAGGTTTTTCGGGCTCTTTGGCCGTGTTCTGAAGGTTGTTCTTTCTAACGTTTCGCCAGTCTCTGTGGCCGGCCTCTTCAGAACACGACCAAAGAGCCTGAAAAACCTACAACAACCATTAGATCCCGGCCGTGAAAGCCTTCGCGAATAGGCTGATTAAATCTTTGCTTTTTTGCTTCCTGCCAGCATTAAAATGTGTGTTAAGCAACAATGCCTTATTTCCTTTCTCTTACCAGAAATTTGGTTCTTACTTGAGTTTGAAATCATCAGCAGCTAGTCGAGCGTTGTCGATCTGCAAAATGATCGCAGCATTCTCAACCGTGTGTTTATGTATCTGTGACCCAACAAATAAAAAAACAGATTTAAGTATTTTGTAGAAATTATTCCCGCCATCTCTGCACACATGGTACAAATCTTTTTGTCTCTGAAAAGTGTATTTGGAAGAACCTGGGGAGAGGCAGTCCATGTATGTACACATGCACACACAGGCAGAAAGAGAACTGCTTTTTTTTGGGGGGGGCATCTTCCACAATGCATGGTGTAACAAATTTCAGCCCCCAAAAGCACAGCTCAAATCCATGTCTATCTAGTCCCTGCACACCAGCAGTCAGGCAGTCAGGTTTCCACTAGTGAAATCACATTAGAAGTTGGGGAAGGGATTTACATGCAGTCACCAACTTTCTTTCTGTTTTAATCTCTGGCTGATGGACCACAATGAGTTCATCCCCAAGGTTTAAATAAAACAGAAGGCTTTTGAAAACTTTTTTGAGAGACATTGCCATTTCTAAAGATAAAGTCCTCCTGGACCTATTTGCTGTGAGAGGTGATATTCATCATTCTTATTTATTGTATCGCTTTACACTGATGGATGAGATCAGGCAACACCTTTGTACTAGAGCTTCCAGAATTCTTGAACCAGCATGGACCTGAACATAAAATAAATTGCTCAGGCTTTGATTAAAACTACTTATGTGTTTTTTAAAAAAATCTCAGCATATAAATGACTCATCATCCTTCCTGAAACCCATTAATTTTCTTATTTCCCTTCTTTTCATTTAACCTGCTGTATTTAAGACTGCTGTATTTAAGGTCGCATGGGGTTATGAAGAGTCGGACACGACTTAATAACTAAACAATTTAAGACCACTAGCCTTATAGAGAGATCCTGACTTATTCTTGCTGCAAATTTCCATATGTATGTATGTAAATCATGTAGTTTGGCAATAGTAAGCAGAGTGAGCCATTTGCTACAGAGAAAAAGCAGCAATGATTAGTTACTCAGTTTCCTATTATTGTAGTTTTACTCCTAGTCTGGGGAGAGGTGTTTGAAGAGTTTTCTGCTTCCTGTTCCGGAATAACATGTCCTACCAGAACAACCCTGACTTGTTCTGGTAGGACCTTTTTCCGTGCTTTGCCTCAGGTGGCAAATGGTTGTGGGCCATGCCTTCTTTGTAGTGTAAAAATACATTATAATGGTCCATAGGCCAGTCACAGACCATGTGCTTTTCACAGAAGGTTCTAGATTCAGTTTGTGAGAGTTCAACCATTGTAAAAGATTCTAGATAGAATGGTACAAACCAACCTCTTCATTACATCTTGGAGACCTACTGCCAGTCAAAGCAGACAAAATGGCTGTCTGGAGTCGACTGCTGAAACTGGGTTACCATAAAGGGTTACTTTCTGTGCCCTTCCCAGTTTACGCTGGCCAAAACAATTTTGTAGGCCCATCCTCATGTGGTTAAATAAGGCTATGGTTGGATCTACCCTCACACTGTGGTTTTCTACCTCTGCTTAACCAGAAGGTACAATGACTAATTATTTAAGTTATTTGCTTCACAGATTAATGCAATGGAAATATAAGCACTAAACAATATCAACAGATGAAGACTTTCTTTGCAAAGGTGCTCAGGGAAACAATGGTTGATAAAAGAATTCTGATTTTCAAATGCCCAGAGGAAACAAACGTTTGAAATATTTCTGACTACCAGCATCATCATGACTATTTTATCTAAGGATCATGTTGTAAGGCTTACAGCGATGATAAGTTGAAAGCCGAATATTATACTCGTACAGCACAAGAAATTATCATTCAATTATAGATGGTAGAATGTTATTGCTACTGGTGGTACACCAGTAGAGTGTTGACCAAATAAGATAAAATAAAAAACGTTTCGTTGACTTACTTTGTTCCTCAGCTCTTCAATGATTTTGAAATATTTGCTGTAGTCTCGGCTGGTGTCAGGAATGCTGTACTTTGCATACCATTCTTTGATTTTGAGTTCAAGCTCTCCATTAGCCTCTTCAAGAGCATGCACTTTGCCCAGATAGTTAGCAAGGCGGTCATTGAGATTTTGCATCGTTTGCTTCTCATCGCCGGAAAGAAGGCCACCATCTCCCCCACCCAAACCACCACCATAGCCCCCACCCAAGCCACTGCCAAACCCACCAGCAAAGCCACTACTGGCAACCCCCCCACCCAAGCTACCACCATAGCCTCCACCCAAGCCACTGCCAAATCCACCAGCAAAGCTGCTGCTGGTAAACCCTGCACCACCAGAGCCGCCCCCTAGACCACTGGCCAGGCCACCTCCATATCCCCCAATAAGGCTTCCTCCACCGTAACCAGCTCCACTGTAACCTCCAGCAAATTTGGAACCACCACTAAATCCTAGACCACTAGATAACCTGACAGATCCTCCTCCACCACCGCCAACACTATATGAAGAAAGCTGACGGGTACTGCCAGATGAGAGGACCGAAAGAGACATGATGAATGAGCAGGAAGGATGGAGTGTCCTGTTCCAGCAAGGCAAGCCAGTTAGAAAGAGTATGTTGAGCTGGTGGTCTTTTGATGCTTATATATAGAGCAAAAGGGGTGTACCGTTTCCACCCTATCCCAGAAAGTGTCTCCTTTGCCAAATGACTGTCTTAATAATTAGGTAATTATTTTGTGTAATTAAAAACGGTTGTTCCCAAGTCTAGCTCTGCAGAAATATGTTTCTCTGGGGTATTTGTCATGCCAAATTTCTAGATGGAACATGGTGGCATGAAGCCAATGTGTTTTAAAATTTTGATGAGCAACTTTTCTTCTTGTTCTCCCGCCAGCTCCCCTTTCTTTTAACTTCAGTTCGATTGCATTCTGTTCAGCAGATCAAGCCGCCAGGCATAATCCTCCCAAATGGAAATAGAAGCCAAACAAAGTTTCAAGTGACTTGTATGAACAACACACATGCTAGAAATATACTACACTTACTTCAGTTAGGGATCGACTTATTGAGTTTTAATCTAACAGAAAGAAACTTCGCAAACACCTTGTCAGGATTTGGCACAAAACTGAAATTTGTTTGATTTATTAAAGGCAGCTTTTTTGGATGATAATTAAAAAAACATGTTTGATGTTAAATTTGAATTCTTAATGCCACATATAGCCTGTCTTTGCAAGTTCAAAGAGATGAAAAGAGAAGGGAATTGAGATTAGTAGACCAAGGAATTTTCCTCCTCTCTGATTCATAACAGGACAAGTTAATTCACATATAGATCGTAACAGAGTTTTACAAGTAATGATTTTGTAAAATTCCTCTGTGATCGCTAGTCCTGTAAACAGCAAACCTGATTTTTCCTAGAAACTTTTTTTGTTTCTTCATGCTAGTGGTCCTTGTTTTAAAATATTCAGCCCTCATTTATACCATTGGTGCAAAAGTTACTTCCTCTTTTTCTGCACATGAAACTGAGCAGAACCTCATTGCCGTGTGTTCATTTTGCAGCTTATGGAAATGCTGCTCACATTTTTCAACAATGCAAACCTTGCCAAAATATCTGCTGTTGTGCATTAACCTATAGTGATCACAACAGTTCTATTAACTTTGGTGTCCCTTTTGTAGTTCAGACGTTGTGGGTTCTGTGAGTTCAGTTCACTGATACTTCTCGAGAAATTTTAACTGTATGGTCATCATGAGAAATGGAGCATTTTACGTCCTTGCGTTTTCTCTGAGATGAGTTAGAGAATGCTTTGTAAAGTCTAAAATTCTGAATTGATACCCATGTCAATAGCACTCATGTGCCAAGCCAGAAATGGGTACAGATGTAAACTTGCAAGCCACCAGATATAACCCTTCAACTCTGGGTACAAAGGGTCCTGAGTTCAAATCTCAAATTAGAAGTGTATTTCATCGAAAACCTTGAAGAAATATTGCCAGACAGTGTACATTAGCCAGGGGAAACATGTGGTCCTCCAGATGTTGTTTTATTGTGATGGCCATTATCCCTCACTCTTGGTTACGACGGCTAGAAGTGTTGGGATATGTAGTGTATTTGGAGGGGCATAAGTTGCCCACACCTGCATTAGAAGCATGCACTAAATGTGGATGCTAATGGCTAGATCCAGAGGCCACATTTACATGGCAGACAATTTTGGATGTGTATAAACTAAATTCAAATACTTTTCCGATAGATGGATCATATTCCTTGTGATGTATGATTTCTTTCCTCCACCTTAAAAAATTATACCATATTTGGCTGATCTATTACTATGCCTAATAACTTCTTGCATTTTTTCATGTCCACTGACCATGGAGGCCAGTACTGGTTCTGAGTTTTTGGTTGGGGTCCAGGCTACTCACCATCAGTAGATCTGCTCCCAGTGGGCACAGTGTCTTGCTGCTGGTGCCCACGTAGCTTTTCTCTTGGGTCCAACCTGCTCCAGTGCCTACTGCAGAGGTGGAATGGGTGGCCTATCATGTGTGGTTGGTTTTGAGTCAGCCCTTGGCAGTGGAGCCAAATGGTGAAAGGTGCTTGGTGTTGTGATCAGGGCTCTAAGTGGCCTGTCCTTGTCCTAGTGCGATGGTTCCCATCCTTGGGGCCGCACATGTTTTTGAACTAAAACTCCCAGAATCCTTCACCACTAGCTATGATGGCCAGGATTTCTGGGTATTGCAGTCTAGCAGCATCTGGGGACCTAAGGTTGGGAAGCACTCTCCTAGAGAATCAAATGAATAGGTGGCTCTAACTGTTCTACTCCCCGCTCATTGCTGCTGACATTTGCTGGCAAGCAAGCAAGTGGTAAGAACAATATGGGGGAGTCACAACCACAATAGTCTCTGGATTCCCAGAGTTTAGAAGAGTTGATGTCAGAGCCTGGACATGCTGCCATTTTAGATTTCAACATTCAGAATCCCTCAGCCAACATGGAAGCTGGCTAAAAGATTCTGGGAACTGTAGTGCAAAAAAGTAACATTTCCAAACCCTGTCCATTCTTGTCCCTTAGTCCTATGTGGAGTCCAAGGTCTGTGGTCCAGGTGCCTGGCAATACCTGCCTTTATTCCGAGGTCCCAGTAACCTAGCCTTTGTGGCTACCCAATGGCTTGAAGAAAAGGGTGTGGGAGCATCATCTGTTTTGATCTGCAAACATAATGCTGTAGAGATTGCTCAAAGCCGGTTTGCAGGTGGCCTGGGCTCATTTGTTCTCAGCTTTGTGCAGATATTTGTGTGGTTTTCGATCGGGAAGGAGGAGGAGTGTGCACGGAAAAACAAAGGGTTATAACGTGGCAGGGAGGGACCACAGTGCAGTGCTGTCAGTTTTGGGAATGTGGTGGACCTTCAGCATGCAGGCAAAACTCCTAGCTGCATCCCTCTCTACAACACTAATGCTTATCTTAGTTTCAAGTAATTTGCATGCACATAGAGGATGCCAGGCTTCAAAGATTTGGTTTGCCCTGAGCGCTGTTCTGTCAGGGTGGGAAAGAACCCATTACCATCTGGAAGATAGATGATTATCTCTGTTTAGATTTGTTCTATCTACATGTCTCATGTTGTGCTTCTGAGAAAGATTAGCAAGTCAAAACATAACTAGTAACTGAGAAGGATTTTTTTAAAAAAGACAATCACACTAGTGATGAAAACTATGTACTGAGCAATCTACCAACACGTGTTTGTAAAAGGATGTTTGTACACTGTTACTTCTGCCTGAGTAAACCTTAAGCTGTTTTCCTCTAAATGATATGTAACAATTTGTACCACTGTATTTGATATATGTTCCACATTTTAATTATGTTTTAGTAATATTTTCTGTAGCTATGCATCCTATCTTCAGAGTATTAGGCTCAAAGGAGATACATCTCACTGCATGTGATTGTGTGGAGCCACCTGAAGGGATTTGGTTCAGTTTGGGGATTGGGAAGAGGTGGGAAGGTCATTTTTAGTTCGTTTAAAAAATAATTTCTCCAGCTATAACTATAAACTACCTCAGTGTTACTAGATTATTTGCTGAGAAATCCTAAACCGCTACTGTGGAAAGTAGAGAATGATGAAGAATCTGATGTTGGAAGGTATCATCTAATGCAGGGGTCCCCAACCCCCGGTGGGCCGTGGCCTTGGCAGGACCGGGCCGCGGAGACAGATCTCCTGCCCCCACATGCACTCCCCGCCAACCTGTGCATTCACATGAGCACGCCCACCCCACCCGTGAGCATGCCCTGTCCATGTGCGTGAACGCACCCCCACCCATGTGTGTGAACCACCCGCAAGTGCCCCAGCAGATCTGCGCATGTGCCCCCTGCCCACCTGTGAGCACACCACACCCACATGCGCATGTGCAAGTGGGCACCCTGCTCATCTACAAGCATGCCCTGCCCACCTGCGAGCACCACCCACCTATGCATGCACGAGTGTGCGCCCCACTCACCTGTGAGTGTGCCCTGCCCACCCATGAGTGTGCCACGCCCACCCACGAGCGCAGCGGGGTGCCCTGCCCCCCAACTGGTCCGCGATTTGGAAAAGGTTG